GGAATCCTCCTGCAGAGACTGAAGAACGCAGTTGTCAGTTCGCTTTGATCAAATGAAACAGGGTTTCGAACTGGATTTTCGTGCATGGATGCTATCGCGTACTATAGAAGAAGAAATAACCTGACCTTGAGCATTATTCGACTTCCTAGCAACTTTAGACTGGGCACACCGTCAGTACTTTTGGCGCATGCTGCGACACTATGAAGTATAGCAGAAGATTATCGGTCTGCTGAAGGGATTGTACGAAGGTATTAAAGGTTTCATCAGAGAAAAGTCGTTGTGAAACTGGTTTAACCTCGCCAGTGAAGTGCACCAAGGAAAGGTGCTTTCACCTCTGTTATTCAACATGGTGATGGATTATGTGATGAGGATGAGCGCGGATCCCAAAAACATGAATTCTAGGGGATTTAACATCAGATGACGACTCAGCCAAAGGCACTCGGCAGTACTCAAGGCAGATATCGAGTACGCTGACGACTTTGTTCTGCTAAGCGACTCCACTAACGGCTTACTGGCACTAACTCTAGAAGTGTGCAAGATGGCTTCGAAGGTAGACCTAGAAGTTAACCATAGGAAAAAAGAAGATCGTGTGATCACCCGGCTGGATTAATGGCCAAAAGTTTCAAGGGAGTGGAACAACCATCAGTGGGGTCGAAAACTTAAAGTACCTCAGCTGTGTACTTTCAAGAGGTGGAGGCTGCCATTTGGAAATAAAGCGGCGCTTAAGGCTACCATCTGTGAATTTCGGACGACTTTCTAATGTATGACAAGATGCATCTATTCCATCAGCAACAAAGATCACCACACTAACAACAGCCGTCTTCTCGGTCCTGATCAAATGTCAACCCTCTTAAAGCGCCATGAAAAAAGGTTTCGACACTTTTCAGCAATGTTACCTACAGAACATTATGAAAGTGCGATGGTCCCATCGAATGAAGAATGACTAGATCTTGGAGACGATCGGACTGGGAATGCAGTTTGAAGAAATCAAGGAACAGTGTCTATCATGGTTTGGCAGAACCATTGAGATAGAGAATGGAAACTTATCTAAAACCATTCTCCTGTGGCAAGCAAAAAATGGCCGCAGGGGAGTCGCACCCTAAAGCTGCTGTTCGAGGTGGACTTGCTTACGAGTAACATGACTTTTGCTGCAATTAACATCGCCTAAATGAGTTTGAGAAGCCAAAGCTTCAGAGATCATTTGTGTCGGTACTTGGTCCATGACCTTCATACCACAGATGAAGATGACAGCAATAACAAATAGATGCTGTTTCGCATTCCTTTCTGGAAGCATTCGAAGGACGTGTCCAACCCCTTGCTGGTGTGACTTCTCAGTCTGCAGAAGCATCGGCTGTA